GCCACAGAGGTGCTAGCTGGTTCATGAGATGTGTGAGGGATTCTACTTTTTTTCGCGGACATTTTCACAGCCGGTTACAAGCAAAAGAAATTACGCGCACTTGCCCCATACTGAATATGCGGACAGGCGAAATTCTAACCTACCGAACGGGGTCCTATCTGCTCCTGGCGCCTTTCGATACCCATCCTGCCTCTTGGCCTCCCTTCGGCCCAAAAAAAAGTCTATACAAATACAAATATTTTAATGCAACCAAAAATAAATTCTATTTTCGCTCGTGCTTGTAGGACAAGTCAATACAAATATACTCCGCACCCGGCACAAACACAAAAATAGAGTTAAATTAGTGTGAGTTGACTTCAAAATCTCAATAATCAAGTAACCACCTCCCATTCAGCAGCACATTCTCACCTTGGGAATATTGGCTCTATCAGGAACCCATTGGTTACGATCGTCTAAATTGTACACTTTGCTTTCCAACCACGTTGCGAACAATTTTCCGAAAACTTTGTGCTTTGAAAGCCTCATCCCACGTAGTTATGGATTGGAAAACTGAATTCATACATGTTTTGTTACAAATTAATGATTAAGAACAACTTGTTTTCCCCTCTCTTATTATGCAATTTTTCTGTTTATCTTCTTGTCTTTCTTTTAATTATTATTTATTTAATTATATGACATAAGTGCAATTTTCAGATTATATTTATTTTTCAGTGTAGCCCAAATTCCAAGTTTCCTTTTCTTTCAAATACCGATAACTTTTTCTTAACCAAATGTCGATAAACGAAAAAAATTTTTACATCGAGTTTTCGACAACAAAGCAATAAATGTCGTTTAATTGTTAACCGACTGCTCATTGTTTGTTCCCTTACGTGGCAAATCAATTGCTACTTGCTCTTTTTTTTCGATAATTATTCTGTTATGTAATACTTTTCTTATTGTTCACGCATACCACTTGGCCACTTCTTCAGACAATATATTTTTAATCATTCTGAAATCCTAAAATTACGACCTTCTACTGAACTTAGGCAGACTCAACAATCTTTTGCTTTATTTTTCTTTTTTAGATTATTTAGAAAAATATACTGCGAGTAGTTTTATTTGCATATTGCTTAAATTCAACAGTTTAGTGATCATTTTTTAAAAATATTTTTATTTCGTTAGATGTCCTTTGCGCTTAGTTTATATTCCAATTAAATAAACGTATATTCACAGACTTTACATCAAAAAAAAAAAAATGTCACCAGCTGAACCGTCACTCCATTTGCTGTTTTTCTTTATTTTTATATTTTTATTTCTTATCTATTTGAAATTAATTATTTTTTTCTTTCTGATATCAAAACAATCAACCTTTAATTTTTCTTTCCTTCAATCAAAATTTGTTGCCCTTTTTCTTAAACCCAAAACTTCTTTTTCTTTTATCCATCACAAAAATGCAACAACTTTTTTTCTTTTCAGTCACCGCGCTCCTTCACCCGTCCCGAATCTCAAGACCAACCCAAAAAAAATGGCATCAACACATCTTTATTATACTTTTTCTCCCGCGAGAACTTAACAATCCCTCTTGTTACAAGGTAAGAAAGTTAACCACTGTATTGTGCTCCGTAGCGCATAAAAATCTGCCTGCTTGAAAAATTTTGTATCTTAGCGTTTTCGTCGGGGCAGAACGGTGATATTCAAAACGATGTTTTGGATATACCTGGATTACTTCCGTCTCATCAAACAGAGTATATGTTCTGGTTAATGACATTGGTATAGTTATACCTGCTTGCCTATCAGCTCACTGTCACTATAATATTCCCGCAAATAATGCAGTATGAATATGTTCGAAATAGAGATTTCTGGTAAATTATAACAAAGTGTCTAATTATATGTTCATATATAGGAAGAGTAATGTTATTTTTTCTTTTTTTTTTTTTGAGGAACTTTTTATTTGCTGTTGTTACATGAATATCTTAAAAACAATGACTCTATGTCTGGCGGACCAATTTTTTTTTCACAACCTCGTTGACATGGAAGTCAAATAAAAGAAATTGGCCACTAGAAAGTGGCAAGCTAAGTGTGTTAATTCTAAATTAAGTATCCCGAGCGTTACGACGTGGTTGATAAACTTTTTGTTCTCAATGCCATCGATAGGGTAGCAGATAATAAGACTCTGATACCCATCGTACCGGATATAAAGAAAAAAATAAGTAATCAAAGAAGAACAAGAAAGCCTCCGGTCAGATTTAGCGTCAGGTCCCATACGACCTGAAATTCGGTATTCCGAGCCCTACTTTTCACTAAGATGAGCAGGTATTCTGCATAAGCAGAGAAGCCAAGTATTCCATTAACTTCGCCGCAAATGCCTTCTGGCTGCCTTAACAAACCATCCATCGCAATGATCCATATAAATGTCCACTGATGGATCCCGGTGGGCAACCTCTAACCGCATCCCTGAAGACAATGTCGTTTCTGCCAACAATACAAGTTCGCCTCTAAGAGAAATAACTTGTCCAGAGTTTAATTTCCAGGCAATTTACCTCTCCAGAACTTTACCAAGCACCGGGAGAAGACTGATACCCGGATACGACGATGGACCACAACATTTGCGATTTTCCACTGCAGTGGAAAAGAACCTTCAGACAGACACAGTCGTATACAGGTAATCAGGAATCACCTTTTAGATGGCATTAGCCATCTCCCCTGGTGATTCCGTCAACGCCTGGCAATCTTTTTGATCTGACTTTGGAAATTACGTGCTCAACTTCACACTTTTCCAAGGGAGGAGTAAGTATCCTGCCCAGGGAAGAATGCTGCCAGAAATGCATCCAGACACTCACTCCACGTGGATAGCACTCCATTTGAAGTGCGAATACCGCTTATCTCCAAGGATCTTCTCCTTTTGATAACCCGGTAGACCAGACCCCAAGGATCATCACGGTTTCGGGTGACAAAATTTCTCCAATTTAGTCTCATTAAGCATGCGTTTGTAGTCATTGAGACATTGCCTCAATTCAACTTTTAGCTGAATAGCGTCCGCAACATTAGAACCGCCTTCTATGGCGACGGACAATTTTTCTTCTTCCGGACAGAGGACGTGTTCACCACTTTACCCTCTTTGGCTTGCCTAGGGGCCTCTCTCAAAGAGGAAGTCGTTGACACTCCAACCCGATTCAGTTACGTGATCTGACTGCTCATCTAAGGGTTTCCTCTGAAAGCTGGTTTCCCAAGCGACACCACAGTGATCGCCTCCCAAACAAGGACCCCGTAGGTTTCCCGGTTTATCCCAGAAGTACACCAACGTTTAACGTCCACTTCAACAGAAGTGGCCCGGGCATAGCTCATCACCACTTGGTGATCGCTAACTTCCCACCCTCCTTTCACCACCCATGAGAAGTCAAACAAACCCATTGCTGGCCTTACTGGCAATAGTGATATCAATGTCATTAGCCCCAACTGGACCATGAAAAGTTAACCAGCCCCAGGATCAATGGGGTGTCACCAGCAAGCAGCAACACCGAATCCATATACCTAAGATACGCATTCAGTTCCTGATTGAACTTACAATAAAGGCTTGCGAAAAGCAATCTTCCATAAGGGCCTTCAACGGACACACAGACACCGTGATTACTTGTTAGAGCAAGTGTGGCTGCCACATTTACATCATTCACAATGACAGCAGAGAGGCTATTGTGGTCAAGAAACACACGCATATCCGTTGGCAAGCCCTACCACCGGATACGCACGGCTCCTGTACCAACGCCACCCCGCTGCCTACCTCACGTATACACTGACCGAAATCACATCGCGCCTTATAACTGCGATTGGAGTTATATTGGAGCATGAGCAAGGCCTTTTTAATGACGAGCTGCTAACTGCCCAATCATACCATTGTATTCAAGACATCATAGGTTGACTCTCTGGAAGCCCCCTAAATTCGCTATTTCTGCAGTGTGCGGCGTTCGTGAACACGCTCGATCTGTGGCCACTCTGACCACAGTGACGGCGAATTATTCCCCTCATAGTGCAATCTTTAACAATATGGTCAAAGGTGAGGCAGCGGTAGCACATGGGTACGTCATCATAGGGGCGTACCGGGAACGACATCCACTCGGCGTATATCCTGCCAGCGCGCAAAAGGCAATCCATGGCAGTGTTAGAGCCTTCCAAAATAACTTTGGTCTGGCTGTCAGCATCTGCTCATGGTTTCGACACAAGACGAGCACCCTCACGAATTCCTTCCGCCTGTGGAATTAACCCTTAAGGTTCACCTCATACGGTTTATCCATAAAGCGGACGGACTCAACTTCTGATGAACGGATTGAATCAAACTTCTCGGGCCTAATTTGTTCGTAATAGAAACGTCAAGCCCCAAAACTTTGCGTTGGGCACAATCTTCCCCCTGTCCGCAACGGATGGCGTACGAACTACGGCTCCACCCCCGCGGATTGGCTTAATATCTAACACCCACCATCGGTCCCACCTATTCCACCACCTTTTTAACTATCTCCTCAGGTGTGTCCGCAGTATTCTTACTACGGACAACCACAGACCAGGTTTCCACTGGCTTTGGCGGTACGACAGTCCGTGCAGCCTCAACAACGGGGGGAGGAACCGTCGTTGAAACAAAAGGAAATGCTTTCAAACAATAGTTTATGAACCGAACACCTTTTTATTCAAGCATCCATCAACTTCTCTCATCAAATCGCACTGAGCGCACGTTATTATCAACCGAGTTAATCACTTACGAATTATTAATCACCAAATTATCGCTTACTTGCGCAACACACGCGTTGATAACTTGACAGTCAAACATCAACTACTCTAAGACAGTAGATAGTAATATATATAAAAAAAACTGTGTCAATTCGAATAACTGAATACAAGAAGTCTCATTTCACTCTTATGCTGACATGTACCGCCGTAAATCGTTTTCAAAAAAAAAACTCTTCTAAAACTACAATTTTCATAGTGTGTATATATTCGTATTTATAAGAAGGGCTAAACAGATTTACCATTTATTGGTCGTAATACATTTGGGGCCATCCCCTAAGTGGTGCACGAAAGCCGCTCTTCATGTCGGTGTTCGATTCGTTTCAGTGTCATTGGATGCCTTTCATACAGAATGCAGCAAATAAACTTGGATCTTGTCATTAGTCCAGGTTGCGTCCACTTCACTCTTTAAACGTTTCTGTCAATATGCCGATGAAGGAAATCGTAAATGGTTAGGCGAAGATAATCATACATACACTGCAGGTGACCTTATGCGTCAAACGACCCTCTTTGACATTGAAAAAAGCTTTCATCAGGGCATGAATTAAATCCATCTATAATTAAACAAACCTTGCTCACATGCGGCACATCGAAGAGTTTGGCAGTGAGGACGACATATTATGGGAAGATGTGCAGATGTCACCGGATGAGGATAATCATAGCAATGAATACTACGACGGAGCTAACAATTACGAGTTGGACGGAATAACAATAGATTTTCTAGTTATGTGCTAGTAAAAGTGATGAAAATCGATAATTGTATTAAAAATTTCAATTAGGCATGCTAGTAAATACCTGCTTCTTACCTCGGTCGTGATGCTCCAGCGGATATAATTTGGATAGAACAAGTCAGGCATATCAAGTGGATCTGATCTGCCGCTGTCGCTAGTTACCCATAGCATTCTATGTCGCTCGTGTTGGGGCGTTCGTATTTGGTTCCGGGGTTGTTGCCTAGCGACTACCGCTGATTCGGCATCGACACGCTCTTCAAGCTGTCAGCCAATTCGGGAAACTAGGGGAAATTTCTTCGTTTACCTTGCGTTTTCTACGTATCTGTCTCCTGTTGATCATCGCTGCAGAAACATAAAATTCTTGCAGCTTTCTTTTGCTTTTGATAAAAACTTGGTTTTTCTCAATTAGAATTTATATAAGAATTTTTATATTTCTTTAAAATATGTTTCAGTATTTCTTCCTCGACATTTACAATTTTTCCTTTTCTCTACTTAAAATATCGGTTCACTTTTCTTAATCTCAAGACATAGCACCGACTTCCTTGTAACCGCATCAATGAGGCCAAATCGTCCGCTCTTTAACTCACCCCGCGACCAACTCACTTTCTCTAACTTATTTTAGCACTGACTAAAATTTGTCTTAAACTAATTATTCTCAACTTCTTATGATTTCTCTTCACTCTAATTTCTCTTTGCTTAAGTTCTTAGCTTAACTTACTCTAGCACTCCCCCTCAGAGACGAAGAACCTGTGAGGCCAAAACGAGTTACGACTTTGGTTCCTCATAATATATATGTACACATAATACCTTTATATATATAAATAATACGTACGAAGACATGAAGGAAGATGTTACTGCAGATCCGTTTTCATTTTTGTGGCTCTGTACACCACATATGGCCCATTAGAGCCAGAAGCGCCAACAAGGTCCTTAAATATTTCACGACATATAACAGCACGTGCATAGTTTTTAACAAACACACGGACGGACGCAATCTAACCTACTGAACAGGCGTCCCTTGTGCACCTGGGTTTTTCTATACTCGCCTTGCCTATTCGCCGAATTTATTGCATATAATTTGACGACGCTGTTACTTATGAACGCGTTTGAAAGTACCATGGAATTTATCTGTGTATGTACTGTGAGGGCTTTAGTCCATTTCCTGATGCTGGGGTAAGCTCAGCGGCACAAGTCTTTGACTCACATGAATTTTATGTTTTCTTTGAATGGTTAAAGAATAGTTTGACTTTCGGAAGTTTTCACTTTGTTTATTCATTTTTTTTACTTTGCTTACAACACAATAGTTCGTCCATTCAGAGCGTTCTCCCTCTTCTTGTTTAATAATACGTTTTTGATATTTTGTTCAGTTAATCTGTTGCCGTCGTGTGTCTACCCTCATTCTAACTTCCCTACTCGGCCGGACCAGTGTGTCCCTCGACACGGACTATTTGGAGCCAGCTCTTTTACGGCTCCTGTCAAGGTTGGCTTTTGGCAACCTTACTTTATCTCAACCAGAAACGTCTGTTTCTGACTGGGGTTCCCTTATCTACCTGTCGCCTGTCTAGTAGTTTACTTAATCCTGCTCTTAACCTAACTTAGCCTAGCACACCACCCTTAGAGACGAAGAACCTGTGAGGGCAAAAGAAGAGACGACTTTGGCTGCTCACAGTACGCAAGAAGGAACTATATTTCGTTTTTTGGGAAACTTTTACACCCGCTTAACGTGTACAGCTCATTTATTAGCTGTTGTTATTCTGGAGTTGCGGATCTGTTTCTCCACTACGTCGAGATGTTCACATATATATATTTACCTTTTTGTACGTAATTTACTTTGTATATACTTTACATATACTTTATCTTTGTTCGGTCTTTTCTTTTTTTTCTTTTCGCAAAAACGTCCGCTATTTTTCTTTTTCTTTCTTTAGAGCCACCATATTCTGGACCTTAATTTACCTTACATTTTAAATACTTCATAATTGGTTCTCCGTCTATTAATGCTGTGCTGCTTTCAGAGTTTTTTTTCTTTTTCTGGATATATTATTCATTGTACCTCCGAAATATGAATTATATATGAATTTTTTTTCTTATTCTTCTTTTCGATTGAGACGTTAGAACCTCTTTAACCAAAGTTCTTACTCTTCCTCTTTCTTTTTTCGCCTCTTCTACTCTCTCATTTCTCCTACCGGAAAACATTACATAGCAGAAAAATCAAAGCTATGTCAAAAGAATTTCTCTGCGTGCGTGAACTTTATAATTTTGGTCACGCAGATTTGTATTCTTAGCAAACTAAAATTTCTAAGTTAAAATCACATGTTACAATGACCACTACGCTAGGTAAAATGTTTCGGTTCAATAAACTGTAAGGGACCCAACGTCCCGTATTGTCCTCAGAAGCCATATTCAATAATTAGGGCCCCATGGCATGTATATAGTTGCATTAATCGGCTATTTAACTGTAGTTTTGTTTATGAAACTAATTCAGCGGCAGTAATATCGGCTGATGATAGCCTTTCAGATTTCCCTCTTTGCAAACTCGCCGTCATATTGGCAAATTGTCCGACGATCTCGTCGAATGATTGTCCTTGTATTTTAATTTCATTACACGTAGGTGTGGGTATCCCAGGATTTGAAACTCCGGCGGCCGCAACTTTTCTACTGGAACCCAGCTGAAATTCGGTGAGATTAGATCTCCCTTCCTAAGTGTATAGACCCATCTGTTTCGGAGTGCGCTTGCCATACTTTATCTGATTGTTAATGTCGCAATTCCAATAAAGATATATTACAATACCCTTCCAGGTTGGACACAATAAACCTTCGGTATTCCAATTGTTTCGAGTACAAAAGATAGACCAAGCCAACCTAGTGTTCTCCTACACGTCAATTTGGTATTTTATTATCATCCAACGAGTTATTTCGTTATCTATCTATGTTACTATCATTTTATTAAACGTGTGACAATATTAACTAAAACTAATAGCTCTACCTGTAATATAATTAAACGATAACCGAACGACGACATAGAGCTTTAGTAGGACAAAGCTCCACAAATTTTCCCATTAATATAAATCTATACGGCTGTAAATAAATCTTCAGATCAGATCACTTCTGAACACAGCTGTAGGTTGAGTGTAAATACAGCCTAACTCAACTCTAGCAGTTTTTAAAATGAATACATTTTTTTTCTTTGAAAGCACGAAATTTTAAAATGAAATCAATAAATTTTGTAAAATTGCGGAAAGTTTTTATTTAAATCTGTACAACTCGGCGGTATATTTGCATCATTATTTTTGATAGCTAATACGAAGATGAATCTTAAATCTGGTGAACTGTCATTCTTTTATTTCATCACATAGGGCAGACCAGACGTTAAATTAAATAAATTTGCAATAAACGACGCCTTCAATTTTATTCAGTTTCGGTTTCGCTTGCTCCCAGTCGGTAAATAAATAATAAGAATAATTTATTTTTTTGCAATTAAATATTCATATTTTGGCAGTGCATCAATTCTGCTAAAATGCCGGGGTCGATAATTTCTATAAGTCTCATAGGTTCTTCGTGTCTGATGGGAGAGTGCTAGGCTAAGTAAAGTTAAGAGTTGAGAATGGTATTAATTAAAGTGCCAAATGGACGACAGGAGATAAGGAATCCCAATTAGAAACAGATGCTTTCTGATTGGGATATGGTAAGGTCGCTAAAAGGCAACCTTGACGGGAGTCGTAAAACAGCTGGCTTGAAGTTGTCCGTGTCGAGGGAAAGACCGGTCCAGTCTAGTAGCAGATAAAGTCAGGGAAGAGTTGAGAGCAAGCGACGAAACAGGACTGTCCGGTTTCTAGTGATAAGCTAATGTCGCAACTCCCGCCCTTGTACAATTTAAAACAAAAAAAGAATGTATTTTGAGTGAATTTAACAACGAAGCAGAGAGTAATAACAAGTAATTTAAACTTCGCTTTCGATTGTAAATAAAGCAACTAAACATGTCTTGTGAGTCTTGGGAGCCTGGTGTCCGTGAGCACACCCCAGCGCCAAGAAATGGGCAGAAGCCATCACAGTACGTATCTTACATTCAAATTGTAATTCTGTTTACAATTGAAAAAAAATATATTTTTTTTTATTTCGCTCATTCACTATAGGTGGTGTATATATATATATATATATTTACGGAGCCAGGAACACAGCGAAAGGTAAAATTCGCGTAATATATGACCCCTCAAGAAAATATTCTGTTTGCAATGTCTGATGAAGTCAAATTTTATGATGAAGATGGTTCTTTCCGAAGGCAAAGCCAAAAACCCCGTACCCACCTAATCATTTTCCGCGCCCTTAAGTTATTAAAAGTACATTTTGATTAAATCCAATTGATTGCTATTATTTTGATTCTAACTTAATTTACTAAATAATTCCTATGCCTAGATATTCTAAAAATGTCTTATATACTAAAAATGTCTTATACACTAAAATGTAATCAAAAATAATAAAAAATTACTAATAAATATAACCGCTAATATAAACAAGGTCACTAGAATTGCATTAAAAATAAATACGGTTATTAAGATTACTTATACTATACACATTACATTGACCTTCGGCTTCTTCTTCTTCTTCTCTGAGAATATTAACGAATATGTAATTATATTAGTCTGCTACCTTATCGAATATATGGCAGTAATCCCAGTTGCAGACAAGAGTGTCGCAAAGCAAATCTTCAAAAATTTTATCCTCATGAATAATTGATCAAGGTACAGCATATGAAAACGCTTTGATGGAAGAACTATGTAAAAATCTCAAAATAGAAGAAATGGTATCAACAGCTCGTCATCATCGGACGCTTGGTACAGCGGAACGCAGCCACCAAACGTTGAATGAATGCATCCTTTCATATATATCAATTGAAATGAACGAGTAGTATGACGATACATCAATACTGTCCCTACTAGCTAGAGTTAGGAAGGCAGACAACAAATCCGAATAAAGTAGGTAAATCGGACCCATTCTACAATTTAAATAACTATGCTAGGAAGTAAAATATTGGGTAGAAATAGCACAGGAACATACGAGATTGTAGTATATAAAAAAAGAGAAGAAATGAAAAGAAAAGAAAAAAAAGAAGAAAAAGGGTTTTTTTGTCAAAAAAAAAGAAGAAAAAAACAGTTTTCTGATTGGGACGGAAGTTGAGTTTTTTTTGGGAAAAAACATAGAAAATGCCGTCGATATATCCGCTGAATCGTGATAAAAAAAAAAACCTGAGAAAGTGTGCAAAAGTGTCACCTTAATATTTCTTTGATTTTTGAAATCCAATCTTCAATGCGAAATGGTTTAAAAAGGCAAAACCAATATCAAGATGAACAAACGTACACGACAGAGTGATGAAAAGGAGAAAACTTAAAAAAAAAAGAGCGTAAATTGATTAGCTAAATCGTTGGTCGGCTGCGGATGTTGTACGAGAGTCCTTTAAATAACAAGGAAACAATAAAGGAGTTTTCTAATTTCTTATAAAAAACCGACAAACAATTTCTTCGTTCATTATTAAGAACTGTGACATATAAAAAGGAGACAAAATCTCAAAACTAAAAAAAAAACTATCAAGCTAATGTAAAAGAAGAAGTGAAAAACACGAAAAGATCAATAAAACTTTAAAAGAGCATTCCTCTTCACACCGTGTTACTTAACTTGGGTTTGTGCGTGGCATCCTTAAGACGTCGAATCAATAATTGACATTCCTTTTGTGTTATTTTTCCTTGACATTAAACAATTTTTTTTTTATTTTAAAACGTATAATTTGTTACAAATTGTTTTAACTGCGGCGATGCGCATCGACGTGGTTGTTAGTTTTGGCAAGTTTTTTTTTATAAAATTGTTTAATAACGATTGTTAATTTTGAAAATGTTGTTTTGTAAAATTGATATAATTCATTATAACACTTTCATTGGAAAAATAAAAAAAAAGAAATGTATTATTATTAAATGTTAAAATACTGGTAAGACTTCCTGGGGGTGTCGGAGGGGCGAGGGAAAAGTAGTATGGTCAGGGCATAGATTTATTTTAGTCAAAAATTTTAAAATTTTTAGTAAGCTTGTTTTAATTAAAATAATGATATATTGTAGCGAAACAAGAACCTATCATGCATCTGAATACATTTCATTTGGACCTATCCCATCCGACGAGCCAGGCCGGAAAACATGCGAATAAAAAAAAAAAGAGAAAAAATAAACAAATACATCCGTGCATAGATTGAATTTCCAAAACTTTATAATTACTACTAGATAAAGCAAAGCAAGATCAAAAAAATAATTTAAATTATTGTAAATTTATTTATATATAAGTAATATAAAAAATGAGCTAAAAATTACTTTACTAAACACCCTTAAACTACATGGGTTCTAGCGGACGTCGACTCCAACATCAGGACATGCCCATTTCCTTGTTAGCAAATTTGCGATTTTCGTCAATGGCTCGGAGCTTAGGCACCCCTTTAACTAAGTTGCTCATTACTTAAACAATGGTTGGTTTGTTTGTTAATTTATCAAAGAGCACAACGAACTGTTATTTTCTGGATTTCGCAAACAAATACACACAAAAATTTGGTTCTTTTTCTCCCTTTTCATTTACACATGAATGATAGCGACGAAAGTGACACCGAACTCATACGTGACTGCAAAAAAACCTTAGCAAGTGCTTGGTCGCGAAGGAAAGTGATCTTTCAGATACGTGATTGATTGCATGCTGTTAAATGAGCAAAACAAAAAAATAGTGTTGTCAACTACATTGGGTAAACAAATGTTGTCGCGATCGAAAAAATAGATTTTACAGAATCATTTCACAAAATTGAGATGCGAGGTGTGTTCTAGGACCTGCTTTCCAAGTTCAAAGTTTGTCCAATACAACATTGGATCCAATACGGTTAATTTTTTAAAGAATTTGTAACGGCCGCGAACAAACCTTGGGTAGGGTGTCTGTCGGTCTGTGTCAACCGCAAGCGGCGCAATAACGGCATGCTGTTAGACAAAATCATGCGATTTTGTGGTACCGCAAGTAAATCGCATGATCTTGCGGTATATGTGTTTTTTTTTGTTTCTTTTCTGATCTCTTTACTTACAAGTACAGGCAAAATCGTATGATTTTGCGGTACCTTTGCTTGCTTTTGCAAGTACAGGCAGAATCGTATGATTTTGCGTTACTCCTTTTTTTTTCTTTTGCTCTTGCAAGCATAGGCAAAATCGTATGATTTTGCGGGATCTATGCTTGCTCTTGTGAGAGTAGCGGCAAGCCGTTATAGAGAGAGCAACAGGAAGAAGAAGAGGGAAATGAAGTAAAAAGGAGAAGTCTGTCTGCGTTTTAAAAATTTAAGTGAGGGGAGATAGAGTTAGTTGAGTTTGAGCCGAGGATGGAATTGGTTGTGATCGCACAACGTAAGTCCGCGAAGAAGTTTTGTTCAATTTTGATAGACATTTTCTCTAAGGAGGAATAATTTAATAATGTGATGGAGTTGAGTTTTTTTGATTATTTTGCTTTTTTTTCTGAAAGAAAAAGGTGATATCAAAGAGTATGTGTTGTTGGTTTTCTCTACTTTGCCTTCATTAAGCAAATAATGCAATTGTAATTAAATAGACAAAAAAAAAAAACGTTGGAGAAGTACAATTTGATGTGACGGAGATTCGCGTTGTTTTTTTTCGATTCCAATATAAAGAAAAGGAAACTTTCCATTGTGTGCTATTGCACCTACGTACATATGAAGATTTATTCAAGAAAAGAACTTTACTAACAAAGTCAAATTCTAGACATAAGTTTGTGTTACATACCTCAAACCCATGCACATGAATAATTATCAAAAAAGATTCAAACATTGTATTTTATACGCAAGTCTAGAAGAAATCGAAAGCAACAAAAATGTAAACAACTGAAAGCAATTAAAAGAATAAAAAAAAAAAAAAAAAAAAAAAGGAGCAAAAATTAACAAAACGTAACCAATGTCGGCACTGCAAAAAGAAAAAAAAAACGAAATTATAAAGTAGAGCAATTTCATAAGTTTATTTTTTTTTTTTTTGCTTTTATATATATATACCATTCAAAAAAAAAAGAAATAAAAGCAATGGAGAACGTTTTTAATACTCATAATGATCGAAAGAAATTATATTAATAAGTGTAGGAAGTTCATATTGCAAAAGGAATAGTT